GGATGCCTAGGACTGTAAAAACACACAGCTATTTTTTTTAGAAGAATGCCCGGTAGTCCTGAATATTGATTCAGGGAGCCTTCACCTGTCTTATTTGCTATCTTTCACCTTATTTTCATCTGTGAACTTCTTTGACACAGGAAACTTTCAATTCTTTCTGTTGATGGACACTAGAGGTGTAAACAAAAATGAAATTTACATTGTAAATGTTATTTACCCAATCATTTTATATTTATTTGTTTGTTTACTTAATTTCTGAACCAGGTGTTTTGTTTTTGGGGTTTTTTGGGGGGGAGGTTGCCAGAATATTTAACAAGGTATAGGGTTTCGGTATAACTTTCCCTGCTTACCTTCTCTGGGAAAAAGCAGTAAAATAATGAAAAACAGTCAACAGGAGAAAGGACGAGGTGATAGCAAAGCATTGCAAATTTAACAATCCCCTCTCAGTAACTGAGAGTCGGCAGATTTGTAGCATTTAACTCTGTAATTTGCAATTAGGGAGATAAGATGACGAACCGAGCCACCGTATGCCGTGCTGCCTGCCCACACTGGGATGCTGGGTGTCTCACGTCAGCAATGATACGTTACAGCTCGCACTGCCCTTAGACATCAGACAGCTGGTAAAGAGTCCATGTCAGGACACAAACATTTTCTGGTCTTATTTCTTTGATGTGATTAGTATATCCTCTCTTTAAAAAGAAGCAGGCTTATAAGAAAATTACAAGAAGAGAGGTTCAAAGTAAGTGTTTAGAAATGAAACACTTCCTATAGTCTGGTCTGTCTTTTTGATCCTGACCTTGAGTGCTGGTGATCAGGAGAGGCGGCCCCAGAGGTATTTCAGATTTAAAGGCAGTGCGGGATTCAGGTCAGGCGCAGTCAAAAGCACGTCATGTCGTTCTCCTAAATAGCATATGGATTGAACCTGCTGTTTCTCGTGACCCAGGGAAAGGGCAGGATGAGGGTCCCCGCCGCCCTCCCCATTTGGGCCTGTGCGGCCCTCTGCCTGGCGTCCTGCTCATCTGCCTTCTCCCCCGGGGCCGGCTCGGGGGCCTGTGTGGACATGCAGCCCAAGCACAGCCCCGCACACCCTCAGAACCCGAGGACTCACCCCATCACCCTTCTCACCGGCAGGTCTTCCTACTCACCAGGTGACACCGTTCCAGGTACGTGTGGGAGAGGCTTTGAGAGACCCCCCTAGGAGCCCCAGCGCCCTAGTGGCAAAATCCGAGTTGTGCTCTTGCCCCAGGAGGGAGCTTCCTGGGCTGATGTTTCACTTCTTCCCAAGCAGCAGTTATGTGGCCAAAAATAAGCAGGAAATATTTGCATCATGAAAACCACATAACTAATTTCTACATTGATATTAACCTTTAGAAGAGAAGGGGGCACAAATAGCATTATTATAAAGAATTATTTTGACAGAAACAGACTCACAGACATAGAAAACAATCTTATGGTTACTGGGGGGAAAGGAGGTGGGGAGGCATACACTGGGAGTTTGGGATTTGCAGATAAAAACTGCTATATATAAAATAGATAAACAACAAGTTCCTACTGTACAGCATGGGGAACTATATTCAATATCTTATAATAACCTGTATTGAAAAAAGATATGAAAAGGAATACATATATTATAACTGAATCACTAGGCTGTACACCAGAAACTAACACAACATTGTAAATCAACTAGACTTCAATTTAAAAAAATTAATCCCCAATTTAAAAATTAAAATAAAAAATAAACATTATTTTGTCTTTATTATGAGATGTGAGTATAGTTACCTTCTCCCACAGGCCCTTTATTCCACTTTTGATGCCAGTGTGAAGCCTACAGCTGTGGCAGCCATCCTGAGACTGTCCAGTGACCAAGGCATGAAAACCCAACACACTGATGCTGGCGGAGCAGGAAAATGGAAACATCTTAGGATCTTAACGTCATTGAATAGTTTCACCAAATATAGAAACTCCACTTCCAGACTTAGGAGAGGGAGTTAAATGTCTTCAGTAGTTAAGTTTCTGTTAATCAGCTTTTCTGATGCTTGCAACTGAAAGAATCCTGACCCATACAATGAGCGAAAGTTCTCTGTATAAGGATGTCCATCAAAATTGTTTATAGTGCAAAAGTAGAAAAAGCGAATACCCATCAAAACGAAACCAGTTAAATCAATCATATGACCTACAGAATAAAGTCTTATTTCTCAGACACATGTGATATGTGAACCTGTATTTGCCTACTGTGGGTACCTCAAATAAATGGACTCATACAATATTTGTCGCTCTGAGCCTAGCTTATTTTACTGACTGTAATGTTTCTAGGTCCATCCATGTGGTAGCATCTAATCAGAGGTAACTGCAGTTTACATATGGAAAATATTATCGAGTTACCCCCTCAAAGAGTTTCATGGTATACTTTTCGCATCACTGAGTGAGTGCCCTAGTTTTTCTGTTGTCATAGCAATACTGGTTATAATGACACATTTTGAAATTTGTTAATATTAGGGGTGCAAACTAGTATCTCATTTAAAATTGTTTTAAAAATCATGATTGAGCTTGTTTTTTTTTCTGTTTGTGTCTACTGATAATTTTCAGTTTGGTCATCTTTTTATTGATTCACCATAACTCTTTGTACATTTATCTGTTTTGTATCTTACAAATACTTTTCTCAATTTATCTTTTTTTAAAAATTTCTTCTATATTGAGAATTTTAAGAAATTATCTTTTCCTTAATGGCTACTGGGGTTTGCTTAGAGAGGCACCCCTAACTCCAGTATTGAAGCAAAAACTAAAACAAAACAAACAGCAACCAAAAGCAAGCCAAACCACTATTTCTAGTTCTTCAGTATTTCATTTTTACAGATCTTTGGTCCCAATGGAATTTATTTAGGGTATGAAGTAGCACTTCAACCTTTTTTTTTCCCTAATGAATTGTTTACTTTCTGGGGGCTGCACTGGTCCTAAGCTTTTTGTCTTGAAAGCACTCACATAAAATCACCAGGCAGAGCTACGTCCAGCGTGTTCACCTTGAATGGCTGTTTTCTGTTGCAGTGACTGTGAAGAGCAGTCGTGATTTCATGGGATTTCTACTTCAGGCCCGAAGAGTGTCGGATCATCAAATAGTCGGCGCTTTTGTTTTCATTCCTCCTCATTCCAAACTGATGACTTGTTTTGAAGAGGCCAACAGTGTCACCCACTCGGACAAGTCCCGGAAGAGACACCTGTCATTCGAGTGGCAGGCCCCCGCCCAGCCCGTGGGGGACATCAGGTTCCTGTAAGAGAGTCAAGTTCTGGTTCTTAGTAACTGAACTTCCCCTTAGGAGAGAGGGGGCTTCTCCTGCCTTCCTTCTTGTTCTCACCTGCCACCCCCTCTGTATGACAAGGACAGAGTCCCTGGGGCTGCCCCAGCTAGAGAGTCTATTCCAAGGATGACTAAAAAAGAACCGCCCCCAATTCCTCTCTCTGCCATTCTCTGTGCTCCAAGAGTGTGGGATTTCCCCTCCTCCTTGAGAATCACAGATGAATTTTGGCCGGCCTCTCCGGGAAATTCTCACTAGGGGACAAAAGAGCTACTGATGGGAGAGCAGGAAGGAGAGACAGAGGCAGACAGACTGTGAACACTCCACGGACGTCTCTGTGCCCCCGCTTACTGTCCCCCAGATGGGGGTGCTGGCAACAGACCCACCTCGTGGGGCTGCGTGAGGATGAAAGAGCCAACAGATGCCGAGTGCTTTGGAACAGCTCCTGGCACCCGCGCGCGCTGTAGAAGTGTCATTGTTACTCAAAATGAGACACTGGCTTTGTCATCTTTTTCAAACATTCACATTTACCAAGAAAGCAAATTTTTTTGGTTTGGTTTTTAAGAAAGGGTGTGTGTTCCTCAGTGCCTTTTCCCCACACCCTCATATAGAGAAGAGGGAGGCTGTGCCGAAGGGGAGGGAGGCACCCAGACCCCACGCTTCCCTTCTAGGTTGTCCCCTCTGTGCTGGGAGCAGTGAGAGATGAGGGATGAGGTCCCCGCCTCTCAGGGTGCCCTTTCCAT